TATTATTTGATAAAATCAAGGTGGCTTGATATGTCTGATGTTATTTCAACATAGTTGTGTCTAATTAGTCCAACATTAACAATTAGTTATCATTTCTTGTCGGTTAAAACAAAAAAAATTCTCAGAAATTTGCCGAAAATGCAAACTTATCCTAGTGTATATCAGTGTATTATCAGTGAGAATTGATATGATCCTTGGTCAAATTGGTGAATGCACACTGCATTCACCAATTAATAGAATACCTAAATGCTCCAGATTTTATTTAGTCTGCGCTTTTTATGGGGATACGTTAAAGACAGTGTTTACAAAACTCGACCAACTATTGTCGACAATATGAGACAAATGATTGTAGCTGCTTTTCGAAGTAGAACTTCAGATATCAGATCATTTTATGCAGTCACAGGAAAGGAACCATTTTGAGCATTTGATTTCATCTAGCTAATTTTTGTCACATAATTATAGGTTTATATCTAGTTTTAATTCTGTAATAAATAAAATATGTTTTAAACGGGTATCTCTTTATTACCGTTGAGTATTTTACTCTACATCCCTAATTTTTGTTAAATTAACAAAAGGTATATCACAGTCACCCTAGATTTTTAGCCGACCATACCAATAGGTATGGTAGGCTATTCAGATCGGGAAAAAAAAGTTTTTTTAATTTCACTCAAAATGAGTTATTTGGGCCATAAATGACCTAAATACAAAATATTTTCATGGTCTGTATTTCTGTCTGTAACACGATAACTCAAAAACCGCTGAACCGATTTTAACCAAATTTGGCACAAAAATATTGTGGCACCCGAGAATCTGGTCATTAGTTTTTGGTGGGGGTGGGGGGTTGGTAAAGGGGTATGGGAGGGGGTTAAAAATTTAAAAAAATCGTAATTCCAAAATTACAGTAGCTAGCGAAACGCGGTTTTCAAATTAAGATTAGGAATAATAATTGCAACAAAATTTGTAATAACATCAAAATCAGCCAAAGTTGCAGTTTTCGAGATATTATCATATTTTAGTATGGGCGGCTATACGTGCCTCCCGGCGCCAATTTTTTTAAAATAAGATCTTCTGACGCAAAATCATAAAAATTAAAATATCTATATAGGAAAATCTTTGTGTGAGAGGTAAACAACCTTAATAATATTTTGAAGATATATGAATTCCACATTGAACACAGGATTAATATACTGGGTGTTCCTTTTAAAATAAAGCAGTAACTTGCTTTTAAAAGTGACTAGTGTTTCCTATGAGTGTTTCATATTAATTTTGGCTCATCCTGTATAACTTTTCGAATCAAATTTTAAATTCGTTTAACATACAATGGTTACTGTAATTAAATATTAGGCTATAACAGGTCAACTAAAATTTAAGTAGCTGTTATTGAAATTTAAAATTTACTCTTCATTTTCACAAAATATGAAATATGTCAAAACCCTTACATTTTAAGTATATGCTTCTTTAATAAAACTCACCTTTATTTTTTTCTTAGATCCGAGAAGCAATTAATATATAGGGTGTTCCATTACAAAAAACTCAACTTTGATGTGTACCTTTTTTGGGGGACACCCTGTATAACTCTATTTTTATTTATAAAATGCCTTCAATTAACCTACATATGCTACCAAAATTTCATTTCGATATAAACCACCGTACTTCTTGGAGCCTCCGCGTTGTATGAAAGGCGCCACCCTGTAGATCTTATTATTTTTTTTGAAATACCTTTTCTGTAATTTTCATTAGTTCGTTATTTTAACTAGAGAGACCAAATGTTTTTTGAAAGGTTAATTAATTTTTATTTCAAAAATTTGGAAAACAGCAAATTGGCACCAATATAAAGAATAATATCATTAGAGAATTAAAAAAGGAATGATAAAAGTCACCACAATTCTGATTATTACTATTTACAAAACATGTATTTATTTTAAGTTGTGTTGTTTATAAAAAAAAATGAGTATCAAGCTGTGGTAGTTAATTGGTATTCTTAATCTTATGGAAATACTTTTTTGCATTTTTCAATTTGTAGGTTCTTCAGGTTCGTTACTACTTCTGGTGATGCAAATTTAACAGGATTGGAATGTCAAAAAGTTTTGTTTGGTCCATTTTTAAGAAATAGTATCATGACACTAATAAAATAGGTTCTTTAATGTATTAAAACATAAATGAAAACATTCACTTCAAATTCTAATTATCTTTATCTACAAGTATCTAACAGATAAACGATTTAAGAAAATGCGATAGGTCATGGATGCTGAGATTCCACAATCCCACCGGCACAACATTATCTCCCATCTCCACCTTACCTGCGTCTTTCCACGTCAGATGCTGGATATCTGCTACCGAGGAACAAGAACCGAATTCAAAGCTAGAAGAAGCTTTATATCATACACGGTTGTAGTTAACGAAGCTGATCGCGGTTTTGACACAGATAAAAAACAGGCTATGGACTACTGTTTTATCGACTGGCTCGTCCTGTCGAGGTCAGGATCGGGTTTCTACTGCATAGCGAGGACGCAGGACGGGAAAATGTGCGGACCCGGCGTGGCAGGACTGGGAGTTGCGTGCTGAGAGTCCTGTTGGATTTCGCAAGCGAGATTGCAGGACAACGCAGACATGATTGCGACGAAAAACGCGTTTTTCTTAATAATGTAAGAGAGGATTTCGCAATCTGATAGCATCACGTATTCCGATTATAATTCACAGAAACCTGCAATCCTTTTATAAAAACTCTCCTACAGAAAGGACTGTACATGGTTGCTTTTATGTATGGAAACGTCGATTTTTAGCTAAAATATAGGAGGTACCGCAAAAAGTTAAATATAAAAGTTATCTATACTAATATATAAAATCCTTCAGTGACTGATTAATCACGATCCTGCTCAAACCACTCAACGTAAGAAGCTCAATTTTGGTATACAGGTTGATTCTAGGGTGTAGAGGTTCGATAAGAAGGGATTTTTCGAAATTCCAGTTCCACGGGGGTGAAACCACCCCTCAAATATTACAATATTTTTTATTTATAAAACGGTCAAGTTCCCGAAAAAACGCTTAAACACGTATATTTTATTTTGTTTTTTACATATTTTAAGATTTTTTAAAAATGTATACAGGGTGTTTCGAAAAATCTGGTCATTGATTAATCACGATCCTGCTTAAAGCGCTTGACGTAAAAAGCTGCTTTTTGGAAAACAGATTGACTTTAGGGTGTAGAGGTTCGATAAGAAGGGATTTTTCGAAACTCGAATTCTAAGGGGGTGAAAAAATCCCTCAAATATTAAAATATTTTTTATTTAAAAACCGGTGAGTTTTTCGGAAAAACTCTTAAACACGTATATTTTATTTTGTTGTTTTACATATTTTAAAATTTTTTATAAATTTATACAGGGTGTTTCATAAAATATGACCATTGAGTAATCACGATTCTGCTTAAATTGCTTGACGTTTAAAGCTGATTTTTGGCAAAGAGATTGACTGTGGGGTGTAGACGTTCGATAAGGAGGGGTTTCTCGAATCTCAAATTCCAAAAGGGTGGAAACGCCCCTCAAATAGTATAATATTTGTTATTTAAAAAACGGTTAGTCTTTCGGGAAAACGCTTGGACAAGCATAATTTACTTGGTTTTTTTACATATTTTGAAATTTTTTAAAAAATCATACAGGGTGTTCCAAAAAGTTCGGTAATTTCTTAACCACGATTCTGCTTAAACTGCTTGACGTAAAAAGCTTATTTTTGGCAAACGGATTTTTCGAAAGTCAAATTCCAAAGAGATGAAACTAACCCTCAAATATTAACAAGTTATATAATAATATCGCCATATTGTTTTTTCTCATGCTGACATAAATTAACATACAGTTTGTATGTTAATGGAAATTCTTGGCTTTGCTTTATCATCACCATTACAAATGATTAATTCGACGCGAACGAAATCGCTGGTACACGCTAGTAGGGTTTATAAATATCTATTAACTGGTAATAAATTTAAGAATACAGGGTCGGTCATAAAGTCGTGGCACATCAAAGTTTCATTTTTTTAAATGGAACCCCCTGTATATTATTGCAAATTTCGGTTCTTCCTTCAATTCTAAGCAAAAATCGAAATATGTAGCTCATACCAACCGTTTCCGAGTTATTGACTTTTGAAAATATCACTTAAACAATTTGATTTAATTAATATCGATATGTTCAGTTCGATGCCATTTTGCCGAAACTGTGATACTTAATAATATTTGTCATTAGTTCTCAATTTAGCATTTATAGATGTATAAAATGAGAGTATAGCAAGTCTATAAATTACAAAATTTTCGTTTAACATTTTAATTCTTCAATTTATGTACATAGTATTTTATGATTATTGTTTAAAATCGAAGGAAGAATTGAAATATGGGTTTCATTTAAAAAAAATAAAGTTTGATGTTTTGTACTGTAAGAATCCATGTGTAAGAAGTGGCGCAAAATAAAAAACTAATTCACCACAATATACACCAAAAACACAAGTTTTCAGTTTTAATCATCTGCTGATGGTGATAACACCAGAAATATACTGAAGGAGATCATAAAAGAATAGAGTGGATACAACAAAAGACCCAGATAATAGATGTCATCCACAGAGTCAAATCCCTCAAATGGCAATGGGCAGGGTACCTGGCAAGAAGAACACACAACAGATGGACAACAAAATTATATTATAGCATATAAATTATATTATAGCATGGTACCCACGAGGAATTAAGAGACCTAAAGGAAGACAGAACCTGAGATGGGACCATGGTATCAGTAAATTAGCAGGGATAAGTTGGGCCCGCATAGTCAACAATAGACAATGGTTGAATAAGCTGAAAATTATTATGATGATAATTTATTATTTAATAAATAATAAAATATTATAAACAAACATAATTTTTAACTATGAAGAATATTATACTGATAACTGAAACTACTATATATATAAGCACTTATTATAATGGTAAAAACTGGGTAAAAACATTTATTTTATTAATACTTACGTTTGAAGTACTGCTTCAGGTTCCGGAGTAACTTCAAGACTGTCATTGTCAGATTTTCCTGAAATATTTGATTTCTTAATATTTGTATGAAACAATGTCATTTACTTTATCTAACTTATTTTTTTTAGATTATCAGCCAGCAGAAGCCTTTTCATTTTAAATGTGTAAACACGAAATATTCTTTTAAGTCAGTTGAATTTCTATAACTTGATCAATTCACATCTAATTTATATTGGAAAAGTAAATAATTAAGTAATAATTATCTATAATAGAAAAGTTAAAAGTCTCTTAACTTTTCTACTAAGTAATTGAAAATGACTACTACTAATTTTGACGTTCTGAATGCTTACATTGAAATTAGAGAAACAAACTTCTACACTAATAACACTAACTGAAACTACTAATTTATTCCACTAATTTTGAAATTCTGAATGAAGCTTTATAAACTTTCGGCCTTTGATGGTCATTCGTTAAGAGAAATTGTGGTTAGTGAAATGGCAGATGACCCACCACTTGTGACGATCAACACACTGAAGGAAGCGATAGGAACTGCCATCAAGGCCAAGCAGCAAGAGACGTGGCAACACCGTGAGGACTGCGCTACAGCTCGAAGACTATGACCAGTGGTAGATAGCAAAAAGACAAAACAACTACTAGAGCCACAAAAAGGACCTAGTACGCATAATTGTAGGTGACGTCACTGGAAACTGTCCCACGGGGGTAAACCACTACTGCAGATAATGCGGAGAGGAAGAAGAAACCATAGAGCACCTGCTGTACCACTGTCCGGCACTGGAATACCGACGCTTTAAAACTTTAGGGCAAGGTTTTTTGGAGGGACTAGAGGAAGCAGCAGAAGCCAACACCAGCGACATCGGGAACTTTGCAAAGAGCTGGAAGTGATTTAACGCAAAGAAAGAATGAGAGGAAGGTTTGGTACAACAATAACAGGGGTATCGCAATGGGCCCAAGGCCTCCGAGTGAGGGATCAAACATGATCCAAAACCCCAGCCACCTAACCTAACCTAATTATTAAGCTTTCTCTATGACTATCGCAAGCCGTTGCTACGTTGCAAATTTCTATTAATTTTAATTGTATTTCATTAGACATTATGAATGATCGTAAATTTTGAAGCATAAAGTATAATTAAAACCACTAATCTATTCCACTAATTTCGAGGTTCTGAATGAAGCTTAAAGCTCAAAATCGTTCAATTCGTTTATTTTACAGGAGATAACTTATTAAAGATAACAATATACCTATAAAACTGGTAATTACAGAGCTACGAATTGCTTCTATATTATTCATTAGTTTGGCCTTCTAATTTTCCGATGACAGAATTTAGTTACAACGGAATAAACAACATAAGGGAAAGGTGTAGAATAATAACATACCTACAATATATTTACAACACTGATGCGGAGAATTAAAGTTATGCGGTAAATAAATAATTTCCCTTGCTATCAGTGGCGGGTCCAGGGGGGGCTTGTAATTTGTAATACAGCAACTACAGTCATGTAATACGATATTATTAATTTATTATGTCAGAAACGACTCCAGAGTAGTTGTATGTACTTTGAGTAAAATTTTGTGTCTAGTCCTCCAACCCACCTCTTTTCCGAATCCTGGATCCGCCCCTGCTTGTTATAGGTATCATAAACTGTCTCTGCAATGTAACACATGTACCTTATTGTGTGATATCTTATGGTGCATTTAGACTTGAGCACGCACGCACTGATCCTCCGCGACTGCTCAAGTGTAAAAGGCTGTGCGCACGCTCACTCTGAATCTGTCTGTGCGCGAGCAGCCGCGAACGTGAGCCGTCTTGTGTCGGTTTTTGGCCCGTGCTCAAAAGGATTTTATGTGTGCGCGAACGCTCAGTTTGCACCGGTAATTTGTTTTGTCTGCGTTCGAGCGTGCGTGTGTGATTTTTTTTTCGTTTTCTTTATTAAAATTATGGAGTAGATCAATGAATCTTCGTTATTATTAATTGAAGAATATGAAAAGTTGTTGTTCCCTATACTATGGGATGTTAAACATTCTTTGTATTATTAAAAAATAAAAAAAAACGCATGGCAAGACCTTGTAAATAAAATTAATATTGAATATGTCGATATTAATGAAATTTCCATTCTAAAATTTGTATCTTTTGTTCGTAATTTTTGGTGTTATTAAATTTTGTAAATATTCAAAGTTGGGCCTGGTCATTCTTGTAAAGTTTTTGAACTGATCATAGCCCTCCTCAGACACTAAGTTGTTGCAGTAAATTATATCGATTTCTAAAAATTTGGGTTTGCCACCAGTGACGATGTTTTCGATTTTTCTCCTTTTTAATAATTAAGCTGTGCATAACAATGACTGCAGCCTCAACTATTTCTTGGTCGTCCATTATTTTCGTCAACACAACTCTGCTGTGCGCGCACAAATGGATCACTTCATTCGTCGAAAAATAAGTATTTAATTAGAACGGAGCCGAGAGCGCGAACGAATGCCGTGCGCGCACGCTCTGCTCGTGCGTGCTCAAGTCTAAACGCACCATTAGATTTTGATTTCGGGTGAATAATCGCAAACACAGTTAAAGTTAAAGCTTTTTAGTAGGAATTCGTGTTATATGTACTAAAAGTGATACTTTATTTTGTAACAAGAGATGTTTAATTTATGTATTAAGCTTCACTCAGAACCTCGCAATTATTGGAATAAATTAGTGGTTTCATTTAGAGAATTAGATATTAAAAGTGTATTGTTTTATAAGCTAAATATTAAGCTTTCCCTATGAATACAACTAACTAACCCAAGCTGTTGCTAGGATATTCTATTAATTTTAATTGTGTTTTAAACATTGTGAATGGTCCCCCCAAACAAAGATGTCTATACCAACGGGAATATATGAACTATGAACTAAGGAATGTATGAACTAGCAAAATTAAGCGTATATGAACACAAGGGCCGTTTTCCACCTATCAGTAAAACCGGTACCCTCGAAATAACAGTAGTTTCGGTAGTACCGGTAAAACCGCTGGAGGTAAAATAAAGTTAGACAAGTGCAAATATTTTCAGGGCTGGTAGATCTCGATAAAAGAAACATAACTATATTCTCCTTGCCGGTTTTCAAATAAGTCGAAAATTACCGAGATATTCAAGTTTGAGGATTTTAAAAAATGACATTTAAAAAAAAATGAGAGCCACCGGATTTTTTTCTGTATTTTTATCAATTTCTTAATCTCTGATATTACCATAGTTACGGCTTTATTCTATGGTTACTACCTCAGGGTCATTATTTACATTTAAACGTGACCCAGTCATCACGTGATAAATGTGGAGCATTCTAAACGCAATTTGCAACAATGCCAACTTTCAACATGTACCCTACTGTTTTAGGGATTTTGCAGTGTACAGAATATAATTAGAGTGCTAAAATATTAAAAAACGGTGTTCAATTCCAGTCTAATAAAATGAAAATGAAATGTAGAAATGAATGATTCAAAAATAACCTTTAAAACAATAATAAATTATGTCATGGGAAAATGTGCGGTGAACAAGCAATCCTAAAAAGTTTTCTAAAATATATAGGAAAATGTGAAAAGAAATGAATGCACGATTTTCAGCATATTTTTTTGAGCAAAAAAAACAAAGAAAAAAACCTTATTATATATATATATATATATATATATATATATATATATATATATATATATATATATATATATATATATATATATATATATATATATATATATATATATATATATATATATATATATATATATATATATATATATATATATATATATATATATATATATATATATATATATATATATATATATATATATATATATATACGTGTTCCTGGGGTCGAAATATATGACGCCTGAAAATATTCGCACTTATTTGAGATTCACCGTGTATAATCATATAATATATTTTCTACTATACAGGGTTCCTACGATGTTCTCTATGGGTATCTCGGAGATAGAGAGTCAAGCAGCGTTAAAGGCGATCAACTCAGTATCAATCAATTCGAAATTGGTCAAAGAATGCATAGAGAAGCTGAATAAATTAGGCAAAGAAAACAAAGTCCTCCTACACTGGGTGCCTGCTCACCAAGGGATAGAAGGCAATGAAAAAGCAAATAATCTAGCTAGGAAAGCAGCGAACACTCCACTAACTGAACCAGAACCGTTCTGCTTTCCAAGTGGTAACCAACTCAAGGCGGAACTCAAGAACTTGGAAGATTCCATCCGCAACCTGGAATGGAAATTTTCCAATGGTCTAAGACACTCGAAGAAGTTTCTGAGGGCTTATGATGAAGAAAAATCACAGATCTTCCTGGGTCTGAGTAAGAACAATCTTCGGATTGTCACGGGGTTTTAACAGGACACTGTCTCCTCAATGAACACCTCAGTAGATTGAAACTAAGAAGAAACGGCGAATGCAGATTCTGTGGGGAAGATGGGGAAACATCAGTACACCTCATCACTGAGTGCGCCGAGACGACAACCATTCGTGCCATGAATTTTGGTACGACTGATATTGGAGATGGAGAACTACCCTCTATAAAACCGTCCCAGATACTGGCTTTTGTCAAAATCCTGGGACTGTATGATGAGTTATGATTCAAGAAAGGGGGACACAATGGATCTGTAAGGTCGAAGTGATTAACCCCCCTCCCACTCATTCTAAATTCTAAAAAAAAATTCTAAGAGTCGGTTAAATGGGGAAAGAATTGCAGTTTTGTGGTGTCATAAATATGCGCCTTTCAGATTTTTGAAAAAGTTCATGGCTTACTAGCTATTTAAAAAAAACAAATTTTGGCTATTTTAAAAATTGTCCCTAATTCCTTTATAATATATTTTAGACAAAAAGTTTTCAGATAAAAATTGTAGCTAATCACATTCTTAATGAGATTGTGTCCTCCGTTTTTTTCTAACGCCTGTCATTTTTGAGATATGACACAAACATATGTTTTTTTAAATGGAAACCATGACTGACTTCTTTAAATGGAAACCATGACTGACTGGCCATGACTTCATAAAAAGCGCCATTTTTTAAGCTTTTTAAAGATATAAGCTATAATATGTTTTCTTCGAAAAATTACTGAGTTATAGCCAATTCTTATAATTTTAAACAATTTCACTTAGTTAGCCATGGAAACAAGTTCAATCGCCGCGCCGTTGCTCTCAGAAATGTGAAGCTGTCACATCCAAACTTTGTAAATTAAAATAAACAAAAATTGTAAATATGAATTTTTCAAGTGAAGAGGAGCATGTAGATACTCGCGCATCAATAGAGTGGTTCCAACATGACTTTCATTATGACCCCCCCCCATAATGAAAAAAATATTAAAAATTATTTATGTCATAATAATGCAAACTCAGGGATAGGAAGAGGTGGACCAATTGCATGGGCCTCCTCGATCACCTGACCTATCCATTTTAGCTTTTTTTATGCGGTATGGTTAGCAATAAGGTTTACAAAAAAACTTATGAATTAAGAGAAGCACTCGTTGTGGCGGTACGAGAGAAGTTTAATTAAGTCGACCGGTCGTTCTGTGAGAATAGGTAGTAATTCACTTTTAAAGAGGCAACTCAAAACAATGACGGTTTTTTTTGAACATTCTCTAAAATAGCTTAAAATATATGTAGTGATAATATTTTTTTAAGTGTTAGTTTGTGTAATGTAAATTGTAAAGAACCCTTTAATAATATATTCAGACTTTTTATAAGTTATAAATCATAAAAGAAGAAGAATATCATGCAATAGTCTACAAAGATTAGAATTGGCTATAAATAAATTTAGCTTTTCAAAAATGTCTTAAAACACGTTCTCTAAAAAACGATCAACGTATGCTCGAAAATGTATGGCCAAGAAAAGTTGAACCAATAATCCTACACGCTTTTCTTCATTTGAAAAATTCATATTTACAATTTTTGTTTATTTTAATTTACAAAATTTGGATGTGACAGCTTTACATTTCTGAGAGCAAAGATGATTAAACTTGTTTCCATGGCTAACTAAGTGAAATTGTTTAAAAATTATAAGGATTGGCTATAACTCGGATTGGCTAAAGTAATTTTTCGAAAAAAACATATTATAGCTTATATCGCTGAAAAGTGTAAAAAATGGCGCTTTTTATGAAGTCAGGGCCAGCTATGGTTTCCATTTAAAAAAATACCTATATGTTTGTGTCATATCCCAAAAATGACAGGCTTTAGAAAAAAAACGGAGGACACAATCACATTAAGGATGTGATTATCTACAACTTTTATCTGAAAACTTTTTGTCTAAAATAGCGTATAATGGAATTAGGGACAATTTTTGAAATAGCCAAAATTTGTTTTTTTCGAAATTTTAATTAAATTAGTAAGCCATGAACTTTTTCAAAAATCTGAAAGGCGCATGTTTATGACCCCACAAAACTGCATTTCTTTCCCTATTTAACCGACTCTCTATCTCCAGTAGTTTCCGAGATACCCATAGAGAACATCGTAGGAAACTCACCCTGTATGTTATTATTACTCGATGTCGCTTTATACAGGATGTTTCAAAAAACATGTGCCATCTCTCGTGGGGAGATTCCTTACGTAAAAATAAGATTTATTTTTCATATCAACATAGGTCCAAATCTGCTTTGTTTCGTAGCTACAGGGTGTTAAAATCTTAATATTATTAATTTTCGATTTATTATAATTTTCTTACAAGTACTTTTAGCGTTTCGAATAAAATTTTGATGGTAAAAGTTACTATAAATGCGACATATTTTAAAGCTAAAAAAGTGTCGACATATTCACCAGGGACGTGCATATGGGTTATCACTGGAATATTCTTCTAAAAAAAAACATGTACGCCACTAACTTTTTTTTTCTCTTGTTAGGGAAATTGTGTAAGCAGTTTAATGCCGATTAAAAGTGGTCTCTTGATATTTTGTCGATTTCGGCCTCCTTGACGCAATTTTATTAATTTGCCTTGATCTAAGTCTAATAGCAACAAAAGTTTTAAATAAGTACTCATAGATTCCTCATCAAAAAATATGAAAAGAGTTCTTCTAAACATGGGTATGGAAATGCATAGTTTTAGAGTTACAGGATGCTAAAACTTTTTAAAATTAGGTTTATTGTAATTATCTTAAATGCCATTATTTTTATATTTGAAATTGCTGTAGGTTGGATCAATAGTAATAATAATTAATAGAAATAATAACTAATAGTAATAATATTTAATAATAAATTAGGTAAAAATATATGATTCGTTAATTTAATTTTTATTTTAATTTTATTAATTGTGATTGATAAAATTGCGGGTATCTCGTCAAGGAGGCCGAATTTGATAAAATATCAAGAGATAATTTCTAATTAGCATTAACGGCCTACACGATTTGGATATTAAAAAAAAAAAAGTCAGTGGCGCACATGTTTTTTTAAATATTCTAGTGATAACCCATATGCACGTCCCTGATGAATTTATTGACACTTTTTTAGCATTAAAATATGACTTTAACACCCTGTAGCTACGAAACAAACCAGAATCGGACCTATGTTGATATGGAAAATAAATCTTATTTTTACGTGAGGAATCTCCCGACAAGAGATGGCACATGTTTTTTGAAACACCCTCTAGAATACTAAAATAGACAAAATACGGTTTATAAGTTTTAGTTATTTTTAGAAACGCAGAACTATCATTTTGAGAGAATAGCTTTCACATTATATATCTAGTTTTGTTTTGTACCTTTGCTTGAAACGGACCTCTCCAATTTCTTGGGCAGCTCTTCTCGTTCTTCAATTTTGTTAAAATTCACCGGAGATATATTTCTACCGAAACTCCGACTCTGAATAAAACTTTCACTTTTCGGTCTTATGTTTATAACCAATTTAAGCGATTCGCGCACACTACTTCGAATTCTCGATCTCAAACTTTTGACTCTTCTCAACTCTACTTGTTCATCATCAGGCACGTTTAGAGTTGCTTCATCCTTCTTCTTCGTTTCCTGATCCTGATCTCTTTTTTCCTGTTCATCATCACTTGTTTTATCAATTGGACTTTCAGGAAATATAATATGTTTCTGTGACTGTTCTATACACCCTGTTAGGAAAGCAGCTTCCTTAAATTCATTTTCGAAAAGTTTCTCTAGGTATGTGTATTCTTCTTTAGTTGAATCACTTGTTTGTTCCATTGTTTTTTAGTTTCAAGTACATAACAAAAACAAGAAAAGCGCGATATTATTTCATATGATTGCAATAGGGAACGACGTAAAGCATTTTAATCACATTACTTTTACACCTGTGTTCTAAACACTATTTAATCTGTATCTTAAAAATACGTTTACAATTAGTTCGACTGATAAGTTAACGAGATAAGCCTTTAATTCGTCGATAAGTTTATACAGGATGATATATCGCAATTCGTTTAATGAATCATATATAGTTAGAAATCATTATACAGACTAAGAGTCGGAAATCCAGGAATGAATCCATTGAAATGCTTACATTTTCGTATTGGACCATTGAATGTTAATGAAATGTTGTAATTAATGAAATCTATCATTTTTAATAAAAGTAATTCTATTGTACAGGGTGTCCCATTTTGGTTGAAATCATACGGTATATCCGTTAATAGTAAAAATAGGAGGATGCCGTTTGCACAAACCTGTCTCACTTTTTTGTCAAACGGAAAATGCTGTCAACAATGTTTTCATAGCCCTCTTCGTTTCTCAGCTACAGGGTCTTCTCGAAAATTTTGCAATTTGGAACAGCTTCCGTATCTCCGTTATTATGGATGATATCGAGAAGGTGAAAACTGATTCTTGTAGAACTTTTTACGTAGAATACGGTTACGTAGTCTGTTTTTCTACGAAAAAGATATTTTTAAAGATACGAACTAAAGTTATGTTTTTTCAAATGGAACACCCTGTATATTTATAAATCGTATGATCCGCCTTGCTATGAGCTTCTCAAAAATATATATCACTCTATATTTATTTCCACTATTTACTGCAATTTTTAAAATATATCGTTTTCTTATTAGTAGGTGGTGATAAATAACAAAAAATAAAAAATGGTATTTACTAAAATAGTCATACAAATATTAAAGTTTTATTTGGAATTGATATATTTTACTTTTGAACTGTTACCCCTGAAGCTCTGAATATATTTTTCTTTTTTTATAACGGAATTTATTATAACGAGATGGGTTTGCAAATATCTAAAAGCTTGCATTATTAAAGCATTTTCCAGGCGTTCGACATTGTGTTAGTTGCCACGATATATTTCATACTTCAAAAATCCCGAAAATTGAGAACGGACAAATCCGGGAATAAGGGAGGCCATCATATGGATCCATTGGTCCAATTCATTGATTTGAGAAATAATAATTTAACAAAATTCTAATATTTTTGTTGTAAGTTAAGTTGTGAGAGGAAGCCCCAACTTGCTGAAAGTATATTTCACGTAAATTAGCTAAAGGAATATTTAAAAGTCCCGATACGATAGCTTCCAAGATTTACAAACAGCGGTAGAGAGGTAAGTTTCCCTAATATATAAAGAATTTATTAGTGGCTCTCAAAATAAAACAAAAGACAGATAGCAGTATACTTTTAATTTCTCTTGAGTTTCTTTTATTATTAATCATGGCCTACTAATAAATTTTATCTTTTAATGTTTTTTTTAAAATATTGCATTAAATAATAAAAATAAATATAGAATGATATATATTTTTGAGAAGCTTATGGTAAGCCAGATCATATAATTTATAAATATACAGGGTGTTCCACTTAAAAAAACATAACTTTAGTTCGTATCTTTAAAAATATTCTTTCGTAGAATAACAGACTACGCCACTCTATCCTACGTATAAAGTTCTACAATAAACAGTTTTCAACTTGTCGATACCTTTAACAATAACAGAGATACAGGGGGTGTCCCAAATTGCAAAATTTTCAAAAAGACCCTGTAGCTCAGAAACGAAGTGGGCTATGAAAATTTGGTTTACGGCATCTTTCGTTTGACAAAAAAGTGGCCCAGGTTTGTGCAAACCGCACTCTTCTATCTTCACGAATAACGGAGGTACAATAGACTTAAAATAAAATTAAGTCTATGGGAGATACCGTATGATTTCAACTAAAATGGGAGACCCTGTACAGGGTGGGCCAAATCCAGGGACGCGCCAAGTATTTTCGGTGCCGTCGGCGTCGTGCGAAATAAGGGTAGGCGCTTTTCTCCAATATTATAATATTATGCCAAAATTTCCAATGACCAGAAGCGCGGCGCTCGACATTGGTGGATAATATATTTTCACCACTAGCGTTCATAGATAAAAGTATTACTTAAATTTTATGTTAATTTGTTGATAAGTTCCAAAAAATGGGTTTATTATTTTTTAAAGTCAGTGACCGCAGGCGCCTTTAGGGCTTTGGCGCCGTCGTGCGCCGCACGATCTTGCCCATATGGACGGCAGTAGCGTATCGTAGGCCCCGCTGCACCAGCAGCGGCGGGGGGCCTCGTGATTTTGAGGGCCCCGCATTATCTGTTCCTTTTTTACATTTTATTTGTTCCTATTAATTTATTTTAATTTGAATCATAGTTTTATTAGAAAAATTCTATTTATGTTTATTTATTTTTATTATTTAGTTTTCTTTTAGTACCTAAGTTTTGTTTTATGTTGATTTATTTTGTAATGTTTTATTTTTTATGTTCCTTTATTATTATTTTTTCTTATGTGGAATAAGTTAAATTTTTGTTTTTATATATTAAATGACTTGATATACCTACATAAAGCTATATTATGTTTTTTAGTGTTTTTTTTATTTTAATATAAGGGCCCCTAAAAAATCTTGCGGCGGGGCCTCACATTTGAAGTTACGCTACTGATGGACGGCGCGTCCCTGGCCAAATCGGACGCTTTTAAAGGGAAACACATTTTTCTATAGAAGATAGACCAAACTAATATCGGTGTCTGGAACTCAATTTTTATCAAAAACATAATGGTCAACACCGCATATCTGTTACCGTTTCGGAGTTACGGGGTTAATTTCAAAAATGTACAATTTATGCAAATCGCTATAACTTTTTTTGCTATGGAAAATTTTGTATTTTTATGAAAACATTTCTAAAGCACCTTTTTACGTAGAATTTAATAGTTAACCTGTATATTTCTAATTCATTGAAAAGAGTTTAAAATTACCTTTTCAAAGATATAGCACACTTGATATTTTGCTCGATTCCTCTTCGAGATATAGAGTTTATGAAAATTTTCCCATCTTAAGTAAGTAGGCTTTGAACGACGCTGACTGTAATGCAAAACATTCTAACTGTGAGCAGCAATTAAAACGAAAATAATATGTGCAATGAGAGATGCAGAATTTTATAACAATTTAGACTATATTTAGCAACATCGGCACATTTAAACTATGTCTAATAACAATAAAAATAAATAGCAAACAAAGCTTTTATGAGATTTTGCTACAGGTGTTCGACATATTAACCGTCTTCTGTTAAGGAGAGACCGTTTGTGAACATTTCTCGCGGAATTCATTAACTCAGTGGGGGTGAAAGATCATCGCATAACCGCTAAGTACTTCTAATTCTTGTCTAGATTATACGGGCAATTTAAAAATAAGAACCTTTATTCTTTCGCAAAGATAAAAATCCATAGGCACTCAGAAGTCCGGCGGCCTGGACGGCCAACGGCTGGGATGTTGGTTAGCTATTCAAATATTCTCGAAATTTGCTGCAAAAATTTGCTGATAATTTCAGCGTTCTGAGGCGGTGTCTCGTCTTACTGGAAAAATATGTTTTCGAGTTCCGTTAGGCGCAGATCATCAATAAGGGATCCAAAGCTTACTAGTTAAAAATGGCGAAATTTTAATAATCCTGTTTTTTAAAGGAAACAAAACAAAAAATAACGAAATATCAAGTGTGCTATATTTTTGGAAAGGTAGTTTTAAGTTCTTTTTAGTTAATTAAAAATATACAGGGTGTCCCAAATAAAAAGTCAATTTTTATGTTGACAACTCTTAAATCATTAATTTAAAAAAAAGTATAGTTAAACCATTAAATTCTACATAAAAAGTTTGAAAATGTTTTCATAAAGATACCAAATTTTCCATAGCAAAAAAGTTACTGCGATTTGTTAAAAATGCACATTTTTGAAAAAAGCACTTCGTAACTCCGAAACGGTAACAGATATCGATGTGCGGTTTTCACCATCATGTTTTTGATAAAAATTGAGCTCTCGTCATCAGAAATAATATTGAAAATTTTAATTATATTGTCTATTTCTACAAAAAAAAATAGGAAAGATAGGAGATATGAGCGAATAGGTATTTTTGGCAAAATATAAAACTAAATTAAATAATAATTTTTCCTACTGTGGTTTATTTATCGGCAGTTTATCTTTTTAATCCCAAATTGCGTAACGTATAAGCATTTTTTTTCTCATTTTATGACCAATAGTGATAAGAAAGATAACAAAAAAATGGTGATGACTTTGACATGTTTTATAAAATTATTTATTTATTTTAGGCGAATGCCGAAATTGAAAAAATAGGTTTTTATTTTTTTTTCGTACCCTGTAAGCTTCCCTGGTTCTTTAGCTACTTACCGTTTCCGAGATATTTGGCAAAATTGAACTTTAAATCGTTTTCTGAAAATGAAAATCTAAGAAACGAAAAATAGCCCATAGGAGGGCGCCATCAGTCGTCTATCAGACGGTGCATATATATGGTTTCTTAGAATTAAAGGGTTTGGTAGATACCCTAAAAAATGTGAAAAAAGCAAAATTTTCAAAAAAAATTTCCTGGCCAAAATCGAGTTTTTGTCGCTTATTCCGATTTTGAAAGATTTTCGGGCGCGGATCGACGCAGATTGATTAGTTAAATATTTTAGTATACACAGATTGTCAAAAAAGTACATCTTTCAAGTTTTCATTTTCGGCAATTTTTTTAAAATACAGTATAACCTAAAAAATGTCTATACCTATGTGGCCATATACAAATTTGCCTAACGAACAAAAAAATGCTTAACGTTTCGGAAAGTTTCTAAGTTCTTTCCGTCGTCGGAAGCAAAAAAATACAAAGAATAAAGAAAAAAAAAATTTAAAAATATTTAAATTCAACTATTCGAGAACACTTTAGTTTTTTTTAAACAGATACGTCTACAAAACCGTTGAGGTTCTGTTAAAATGACAAAAAATGTTTTTTCTTTCGTTAGGCAAATTAAGGCAATCTTTAAACCTAACTTCTGACAAGTAGTTTCCGTTTGGGATTAACGCAGAAGTGTTCATA